TATATATGTGTGTGTGTGTGTGTGTGTGTGTAATAGAATGGAAATGTGAAATTGTTTAGGTAAATATAGTTCTCCCATGAAAATAAAATAATCAAAGATATTGCATCATTTAGGTGTGTTTTATTTTAGCATATAGTTTGCCGCTTTGAGTTGGGATTGCCATTTTTGTCAAATTCATAAATTGGGATTTATCACGTTTATCACGTGAGCCAAAAATGAAGCTGGCCCAGGGAATGTTCCAGAATGTCTGTCCAGGCACAAACTTGCCTGCTTGTCTGCGAGACCATTGCATGTGCATGTTTGCGTGTGCTACTTTTGAGTCTGTCTCGTTGGCCTGTTGTCCTCCACTCGGTCTCACCTTACACGACTGGCCAGCGTCTGCACACACTTGGCCCCATTCCTTCAGTCTCCCAGACGATTTCGCCGGTAACTGAGGCGAACTTAGTCATCTGACAGTGAGGCCTTGACACCGGTCTCGAGGTGTGCACACACGATGCCGAGACTGAGAAGACTGTGTGCCGAAATGGGCGGATAGAAGAGACAGAATAAGATAGGTTTCCAGCAATTGTAGCACTTAATGTGGACAATTGCCTATTGTGGAACCTCTTTTTTGCCTCCTCCTCCTCCTCCTCCTCCTCCTACTTCTACTCCTCCCTTTCGATTTCAGCTAATCTCTCCGAGCCCTGCTTCGACAAATACAAGCACTGGTGGTCACGGCAACGCGATTCCGTCTCCACGACACATCTTTTAACCGACCGGTCAGTCTGGTTTTATGAGCGCTCCGTCGTCTGTCTGGGAAAAGGGCAATCGAGATCGTCCCTACACCTTGCTCTGTGCAGCCTCAGCCATTGTCAGACTCGAATTAATTGGTTTCCGCTGTCCGACGCTCAAATTACACACCCCTTTTGTGCCGCCGTAGACCCAGTCCGGTCGTCATTGCAGGCAATTTAAGCAAAAATGTCGCCCAACCTCACAGACAGACAAGATGGACAAGAGGCGACTTTCAAGTGACCGAAAATGCTCTTTTTTGTCATTTTTTCTTTCAAGCCAGGCTCTCGGGACTACCGGCAAATCTGTTTCGTTTTGGATTGCGAAAGACTGGTAGTTGAATTTTCCCAAAATTAATGAATAGTCCTTCACTTTCCATTGAATCTCGCACTTAGCCAAAAGGTATTCTCATCCAGGCTCGGCTGATCTGGTCTCATCAACACCCCCAGCGCGACTCGAACCCGGTTTGTGGCGATGCAGAGTATAGGGTCAATATGCTAACCACCGCGTCACTCTGTCACAAGTGCCCCTGGGTCAGAGGGCAGATGTGCATTTTACATTCTGTGGTGGGATTTCCGATGTGGCAATCGACTGAATCACTTATTTTTCGTTTATAAGTAGCCTAGTTCGAGCCCCGCCAAGGGCGCTGATGAGAACTGCTGATAGGATTGTGGGAAAATCCAACCACCTTAAAGGAAATAGTTTGAATACACCTTTGCTATGCCACTGGGCAGGTACCATCAGAACTGGACCCTACGTTTATAACCCTTCAAGAACACCGGCCAACTTTCCCCTATGGGCCATATGTACACTTAAACTGTATGCACTTTTGTGAGTATGAAGTGATTTGATTAGTGGATTTACTACATTTATCTCCGAGGTTGGAAGATGATAAAATGACTTTTTCAATGCTGCCTCCTTGACGTTGGATCTTGCATGAAACGACTATGAGTAGATCTTTCTGCCACTTTGGTCAAATACGTTGATGATGCAAGACTGACAACTGAGTTATCTCACAATGTGATCTGTACGACTGTCAATGTACAGTTCATTGTGGTAAAATCCAATTATCAATTATGCATGACTCAGTCGATTGGTCGTTAGTCTCATCATATCAGGCCTGACATGACAGACAATGGCTGAGCACATTTGCACATGAACCCTGGGAGATCGCTATGAGGACGACGTGGATCAGAAGGTCCCTCTTTCAGGCTACCCAGATCTCTAAACTACACAATTTTTGTCGCGTTGAAATAGTCAATTGAGAATAGACAATTTAAGCAGATGACCAGATGCGTACCGACCAAAGCAGTAAAACTGGGAGGATATGCAGAAAAAGTGGTTTCCTAAAAATCCCCTACTTTTGGAGTAATTCTCCTTTCGTCGGAAGAGGCAAGTGCAAGGGAAACAAGTCGAAAGTTGATTGTCTCTGAGCTGTAACGGTGGATTTGTGCAAATAAATCCTCGGCTCCCCCGCTCCTAATCACGATCCATCATTACTCAGCTTTCATCCGTCCTGTGAGACATATTGTCAGAGCAGAACAGCGTGTTTTATGATAATTCACCAGAACAAAGACTCCAACATCAAGCCGACAGGAGAACTCAAGATAAACTGTCCTGGCGACAAACAGCGGCTGTAGGTATGTGTGTAGACTT